ATGTAGAAACCTGTTTGTTCCTGGCTTTGCCTGGTGAACTAGTGGGTCTCTGAGCTCTCAACAACAGGGATAAAGGCCAATGTGCCTCTGGGCCTGTATGTCCTATCAAATCCCTCTTAGGGTAAGATTTGCTGCGTTGCTTGTGCTCTTTAAGGCAGGTTTTGATGCTCATATCCTAGCCCTGAGAGTACGTGCAGTGTCTGAGTGCTAAAATCTCCCTCGGGATAGAGTAAAAACTACCGATGTGATTAGATCCAGCTAAGAAACTTCTCCAGCTTCATTTTGGTGGGGAGCTGCCGTGGGATCCTGAAACCTGCCAGCATTGGCACACTATGATAAGTATGGGGCGGGCCCTTGGCAAGTGGTTCCCTGTTAGGCAGAGGGAGCAAGTTGGGGAGTGGCTTGAATGCCAGACATTTTGGAGACTTTGATTCCCAAACTCCTGCATTGCCGAGCTCGGTGCAGGGCTGGCAAGTGGTTTTTCCTCCTTTCCATGGAATTGAACCAAACCAGAAATTTCTGTCCCTTTCACAAGGGGAACTGTTACCAGCTTCTCATTCAGCAGGTTTGGTCTGTGACCCAGTTTGCATGAAGCTTTCCCCCTGACTGCTGCCACAGAGTGTTTCATTGTATGTCCTTTCTTACAGACAGTTCTGGCATCCCCTATTAAGATCATAGGACTGGCCATGTTGGATCTGACCCAAGGTCCACCTAGCTTCTTGTCCTCTGACAGTGGCCAGCACCAGTTGCTTCAGGAGATGCGAGACCCCTGTAATAAACAGCTGCATGCTAATCTCCCTACATGAGGTCTCATTCCGGTCGCTAATAGATTCACTTTAGATGTGCAGCATGAGGTTTCCTACCTGTTGTCCGTAGTGTTTGTGAAGAACAAATGCTTGCTTGACTCCGTGTGTCTGCCATTTTGAAGAAGGGGGGTGGGATGGGACTCCCAGGGTAGGAAAGAACAGGCTCCTTCAGCTGGAATGGCAGGCAGTAAATGCCTTAGTGTAGTCCATGCCTTTCTAAAGGAACTCTAGGTATGCGGCTTTATCCAGCAAATTTTCCCCCACAGGCAGCGTCCACTCTTTAATGAGCACAGACAGCTGGCCCGTGAGGCCCAGCTGTGGTCTGCTGCAGGGAATCTCTGCAGTGCTGAAGGTAACCTCTGCGGTGCTGGTTAGACAATTGTTGAAGCCATGGAAATAAACCAGACTTCCCATCGTGCTGCATTGTGTTGGGGTTTAACCGGCTGACTTATTCTGACATGTCAGTGAAAATACCCAATTTGGTTTCCTCTTGGCTTCTATAAGCTGGTACTGGTAACACTTGTCTCCTGTTGTTGAAGCAATTGGTGCTTTGCTTGCAGGAGTTGGGTGGGCTCTGGAGTGAACAGCTCACGGCAGGAATGGGGAGATCTTTTGCAATGTTGAAATTTCTAGGCAGATAGGCCAATTGGGATGGTGCCTGTATATGCAATCAATTTGCCATGCAACTGCAGCCAACTAGCGCTGTAACGTTACAAGCCTTTTGACATTGCACCAAAGTCAAGTCAGTTACACAAACCTCTTGCTTTTTCTGTCTGCATATGAAGGACCTGTACCCAGTTATTAATGGAGGAGTCCCAGAGACAACAGAGCTGCTCAAGCAGAGGTTCGATCACATCTTCTATACCGGGAATTCCCAAGTGGGCAAAATTGTCATGGAAGCAGCTGCCAAGCACCTCACCCCTGTCACGCTTGAACTAGGTGGAAAAAGTCCATGTTATATCGATAAGGACTGCGATATCGACATTGCCTGCAGGTGAGGTCATTCTCTAGGGAGTCAGCTGCTGAGTGTGGGCAGAAGGCCATGAGGCGTGTTGATGCCTCTCCCTGTTGGACATGTGGCTCTCTGGCTGCGGTGGTGGCTTATGACCAAACTGTCCTTTCATACACTGGTTTGTCTCTTTATTGGAGGGGTTGGATCTCACTTGACTCTCTCTTCTGCTTGAGTTTTGACAAACAGAAACAGAAGAATGACCCTTTTAGCATTGTTGGATCTATTAATTTTTTTCCCAAAGCGTTTATGTAAATAAAATAAATTAGCTGTAAACAGTTTGCTTAGACTTGACTGATCCCATTGGGCTAGAAGGTGACTTTAAAATAATGAGGTTTGTATAATTACAAGATGAGCCTGCAGGTGGATGCAGCAAACAGGGTGGAGGGGATCACAGGTAACAGCGAGACTGTTACAAACAGGTGAGTTTATGGAGGGGTCCAGGCAGAGCCCAGGCATGAAGGAATGTTCCAGGTAGTTAGTGTATTGTGAAATCAAGCAGCCAGTTAGCTTTTCAATTCAGTGTTCTGGACTGCATTTTCAGGAAAGGGTTCTCTGTGATACCATGTATAGGGTTGTTCCTTTTAGGGCCAGCTTCTCCGATAGAAATTAACAGGAGTTTTGCTTTGGACTTCAGCAATGACTTTATAACAGTGTTTCTCAAACTGTGCTCCATGGAGCCCCAGGGCTCCGCGAGACATCTCCAGGGACTCCACAAGGTTGACAAACTGGAAACATCGATAGGTACAGCACATACAATCAGTGGACCGCTGGGGCTCCGCATAAATTTTTACGCATGGAAAGGGCTCCAGAGCCCAAAAAGTTTGAGAACTGCTGCTTTAAAAGATGCAAAAATTAGTTTAGACCTTGATTAGTTTAGGCAGGATCGTGGCCACGGTTTGGGATTTTTGTTTGTATTATCCCATTCAGTTTCGCGGCCATCCTGCCGAATCTAGAACGGGTCCACAACCTATGGCTCTCAACTCAAGCTCAGCCTCTCCTTACCCCCTTCCCCGCATCGGGGAACCCTGTGCTAGCGCCTCACGCCCCCCACAAGATTGGAGCCAGCACCAGCTCCCTGCCAGGAGTGGGGGAGAAAGCCCTGAGCCTCACTGTGCAATCAGGGAAGAAGTGGAGCCACAAATGGCTTACCCATCCCCCAGATGAGCAGTGCACAGATGCACTGGCTGGAGGCTTCTCCCACTGCTCCATTGGCCAGAATCCAGCTAGTGGAGCAGTGGGAAGCCATGCCGGGGACAGGGAACCTGAGAGCAGCGTGGGGCGCAAAAGCAAGTAAGTGCGGCCCTGCATCCCCAACCTGCTCCTGCCCTCTTCCCCCTGGACAGACACCCACCCCCTTGGCCAGATACCCACCTGCACTCTGCTCCTGCACCCCCTCCCCCACACCCACATCCTGTACCCCTATCCCATTTGCTGGCAGCCCTGTCCTGCACACTGCACCCTTAATTTTTGGCCCTGCCCCAGAGCCTAGGGAGGCCCACAAAATCCACTAACCCTGGAACCCCAGAAGAGGTAATCTGGCCTAAGGCCTTGAATTTCAGTCCTCCCTGCCTCCCCTTCCCCCCCCCCCCATGCATGAAGTGGAAACTTCAAGTTTGGCAGGTATATCCATGCGAAGATGGGCGTGTTACGTTACTATGTGGAGCACCAGTGCCTCCTAATTTGGAACAGACATTTTGAAATCTGGTTTTCTACTGCTCACTACTTCACAGAGCAGGGTCCCATCAAGTCATGACATCTGCCCTACATGAGGCTGGGGGAGTGTACTGCAGATGCTGTGCCCTGTGAATTATTGAGCAGTACAAAACCAGAAATAAACATTAGCTTTTAAGATGCTACAGGACTCCTGGCTGTGTCAATCATTGCAGCCACTGAAGGTTTTAATCCTGCTCAAAGTCTTGCTTTGACGTTCCCACATTTGGTGGGTGATCCCAGCTTTCCCAGACCTCCCAAATACATGCTGTGCTGCTCTTTAATCTTGTGAAATGAGACCCAAACCTGAGCCGTTTGTACAAACATGTACGGACAGTCTAGCTAGGCAGAGACTTTGGAATGGTGCAGCCTGTAGATCTGATAGACTGAGAGCCAATGCTGATGCAGAATATTACAGAGAGATAGTAGCTGTACCTTGTTCAAGGCTATTGCTCTAATTCTTGACTGGTCTAACATCTTTCATTCAAGCAGAACGCAGTAGGGTTCGGCTGCTCTTGAATTGCTGGAGTTCATGCTGCAGTTGTTCTTCAGTATCTGCATACACCATTGGCTTCAGAATCCTTGTCGTATAGGACTGAAAGGGACCTTGAGAGGTCTTCTAGTCCAATCCCCTGCCCTCATGGCAGGAATAAGCATCAGCCGGGGGAATCCTCTAACTCAGGGGTGGGCAATAATTTTTGATGGGGGGCCACTCTGAGATTTTGGTGAAGTGGTTCTTTGGAGGGAGTGCAGGGTCTGGGACGGAGGTTTGGGTAGGAGACGGGGGTGCAGGAGAGGGTGTGGGATCTGAGAGGGAGCTGTGACCTGGGGCAGAGGATTGGGTGCAGGGTCTGGGGGGGTATGGGTACAGGATCAGATTCTGGCCTGGGGGGCGCAGGAGGGAGTGCAAGGTCTGGGGAGAATTGTGACCTGAGGGAGGGGAGGTGCAGAAGGTTTGGTGGGGCAGGAAGGGGTGGTCTCCTGGGGCAGGGAAGTGGGGTGCCAGGTACAGGCCTAGAGGCACTTACCTAGGCAGCTCCCAGCCAGCAGCCCAGTGAGACCGTTGGGCAGGCACCCTGCCTGCCACAGCCCCAGACTGCTCGAAAACATCTGGCTTCTCCATCTTGCTCTCTGCGCTGAACACACAAGGGGCTTCGCATGCTGACCCCACCCCCCGCGCAATCTCTCAGCTCCCGTTGGCAGCCAGACGCTTTGAGGGGTCTGGGGCTGCTCCGTGCCTGAGGGTCCTGATGGGGCGGCCACAAACTGGATTGAAAGGCTTGGTGGGCTGCATCTTGCCCGCCCCTGCTCTAAATATTAATGGGGATCGCACTGAGATTGGTTTATCTGCATTTCAAAACTCGTTCAGATCACTAGGAGAGGGGGTCGTCTCCCGTTGGCAGCCAGACGCTTTGAGGGGTCTGGGGCTGCTCCGTGCCTGAGGGTCCTGATGGGGCGGCCACAAACTGGATTGAAAGGCTTGGTGGGCTGCATCTTGCCCGCCCCTGCTCTAAATATTAATGGGGATCGCACTGAGATTGGTTTATCTGCATTTCAAAACTCGTTCAGATCACTAGGAGAGGGGGTCGTCTC